TACAGAATAGTATTATTTAATCATACATTTATTCACAATAAACATTTATCATAAATAATTATAATGTCATGGCCAAATTTTCCTTAGGTAGTGTTTGGTTGGGGAGAAATTTTATAATACTAGGGAAATGTAAAATCTACGGGGAAAGTGAGTTAGATAGTAAAGTTTTAAAAAAGTTGTTTGGTTGAGCAAAATTTTACCAGGAAAATTGAGTTAAATTACTGAATGTGTGTTTGGTTGAAGATAAAATATAGATGAAAAAATTTAATCAAATTACAAAATAACCCCCAACACCATATAACCCTGTATGCAGTGCACGTATGAATAACAGAATTTTTTTTCTGAGAGTAAGTATTAAACCGTATGCAATGCACGTATGGATTTTATTCATGCATTATGGAGAAAATAGCCTACATCATCCCAAGACTTATAATGGGGAATACTCTTTTAAAATGAAAAACAGAAAAATCATAACATACTTTTGCTCAAGCTATATATTACTGCTCAGAACAATTTGCTGTATTCTCATCTCATTGCTAGGTGGTAATGTTATGCAATGTAATTGTTCACAGCAAAAAACTATCTTCATGTTACTTTTATTTTTAGGAATCAATTCTGAAAATCGTAAACAAACAACTACACCAGTCAACAAATACATGTTTTTTTATTTTTCATAATATAAAATGGTGTGTAACCTTTTCTTATTGTTAACGTTTAACTTAATTTTTTATTTTCATTGCTAAATTGTTCGTATTAATAATCAAATATATGACAAATTCAAATCTGATAATAATAATAATATTAATAATAACAAAATCTGCTTAAAGAACATAAAACTGTTAAGAAATTTATTTCTGACAGATAAACTATATGACTAAGTGAACTTTATTCATTAACTGTGAAGTATAATACAGTTCCTGCAATGACATAAAGCTCATAGTTTAATCTCATTCACAGTTTAACCTTGCCCGTTCACTACAAATACAACCAAGTGGAATTTCATTATACAATTTCGCGTTGCACTATTTCAAACAAACTCCTTCCCAAAACCCAGTCTTCTATCATTGCTTGAGAATTCACAGCCTTCTCAGTAGGCACAAGATGCCCAGTACCCAAAACCACAACATTGGTGAGTGTCTTCCAACTTTGTACATACCCAGAAAGCTCTCCATTCACCTTCCAAATCTTCCTTTCTGCATTCAGAAACTCCAAAATTCCTTCCCATTTCATTGTCTTGACCCATGCCTCAACTTGTACCACTCTATCCCTCAAATCATGTCGACCTTGGTATAACAACACCCTGCTCTTACTCACCAAGTGCTCTACCATATATTTCACACTTTTCATCACATCAGCATGTAATGCAGCATCAACAATGTCAGTGCATAACTCATACACAAATGATTCATTCACCCCAAGGCCTTCTTCACCTCAGTAAAGTTCAAGAACTGAGCAACCAAGTCATCTTCATGTACCTATAACAGCAACCCAATTTGATGTTCCTCATACTTCGTAAAGTTCATTTATAGAGGGCCCTTCTAGAGAAGAATAATCCCTGGGAGTAAAGTAGTTACCCTTCTCAAGAACAAGCACCTTCAGTCCTGAACTTGCAAGAACAGCAGCTGCATCTCCTCCCCTACAACCAGACCCAACAATTACTACATCACATGATTTCATCTTGACCAATTTGTTTTCAGCATCCACAGCAACTTGAAGACCTTTACTGAACAAGAGACTCAGGCAGACTCAAGTTGGTCTCATTCATAGCTTCCACTATTCCCTTTTCAAGATGCCTATCTTTGTGAATTTTATGCTTGTGTTCCCATCAGTGTCAACTTCATATCCAATGGCTTCCCATGCTGGGTTTTCACCATTGTCATCACACTGCACACAAGTGAATATTCCTGCAACACACACAATCCAAAAGTGGCATACGGGTTAAAGAGAAAAATGTTACTGAAAGTAGTATGTGAATCAAGAATGTGTCCTTCCATCATTCTGAAATCACATGACAGTTATGTGATACAATCAAACCAGAAGCAAGTTATCATTTCCATCAGAAGCAGTATGCAGTGCTTCCCAGTACGGCAGTACCTGCTCAACACTATACATATCGATAACAGAGAAGGGTCTATATTAGCTGCTTTATGAATGCAGTAGGGTTCATTCCCATGAGAAGCAGCATTAGGCACAAAATTACAACATACAGAAAACGAAACATAATTAATATCAGAATCCAAGTGCATTACAGCATAGTTTTATAATGTAGTAGTTACAAAAAACTCCCAATTAAATCTGTTTATAACACACATGACAGTACACCTACATGAACAGTGGACAATATTGACACAACATTAACTATGCTTGTGTGATGACCCTATAGCTGGTCTATAACCTAAAATTACAACATAGTGGTATATACATCATCCAAAAAATTACATCAACCATTAACAGTTGCAGTAGCACAACAAGTACCAAAAAAATATGTGAGTACCACAGTCACACAAAAAAGAGTGGCAGTAGTTTGGCTTCCATGACAAGCTATCACTTTGAAGGTATAATTAGTGTTCGAAATTTGCCAACAACCCAGCAACCAGACACCTTCTATTTTTAGTTACTTTATGCAGACTCTGGGTGAAAAACGAGCTAAATGCAAGTGTATAAGCATGCCAAAGTCAGAAGAAACAGATCAAATTGCTTGAGTTTCTTTTGTACAGGCAATAAAGTAAGTAGGCAAACATGGATAGGATCGATGCCTTATATCTTCATGTGCTGAAAAATAAGTTGAAAAAAGCTAATATGAGATGCTATTTTCTTTATTGGGTGTAACACAGAAAGTCAACTTGTAGCTGTTCGTGACAACATTAAGGTTATTTAAGCTAACAAGGGTTTCAATCACACAGACAATAAATCAAATAGTTTGTTTTGTATTTTTTATATACAAGAACTCTAATGTATTCATTTTCATGTTATGTTTTGTTTTCACCCTCATAGTTATGAAAGTTTTCACACTGAATTTAAATGAGGTATATTTGTCGCTTCTTATTGAATTGATGCATTATAAATGAGTGCGTGGCAGTAGAGAGCATTTCAATTGTATAGTTAACTTTTCTCAACCAGTATGTCATTGAATTGATGATTGTTGAGGGGGCCTTTGTCATAATTGTACTTGAGGACATAGTTTTACCACAATGCTTATAGAAATATCTCGTACAAAGACTAAAAAAAACACAAATCCGAGTTGTATAATGATAAAGTAGGACACAGTCTGGTTGATTGGTGCTATCCATTGATAAAGATGTAATAGTATAAACTAATTTATTTTTGTAAAGGGTGCAAGTGTTACCCATATTTTTTTCTTGATTTTTATAGGATTAAAATTGCAATACACTTTAAACTGCAGAACAATGAAAAAACATAGAACCAGTAGAGGAACACAACAGAGAATGATTGAACCAAGTGGGTCCTGCGCCTGAAGGAGGAATTTATCATAAACCCGGAACGAAGGATTTCACAGACAACGGGAGACATGAAGGTCAAACATTAACATAGACATATTATCATCAGCATCAAGATTCAAAGGAAGAAACTTTTTTTAAAATATGCCTTCGATTCCTGCAAAGAAATCCACAAAGTCTTACCGGAATATTGTGACGAAAATAAGAGGATCCCTTGTCTGAACGAAAACAAATCGGGTGCTGGTCTTCAAACCACCGGCTTGTACTTCGCGCTAGATCCGGTTCACGGGACTCTTCTTTCACTAGCTAAACAAAAGGAACGTGCTAGGAAAGACAACAAACTTTTAGACGCTTTTCCATTAACTACAGACTAAACTTGATTCCAAAAAACAGAAATGTTACCATTACCTGATAACCGAACACAAGCATCTGGGTTTCCTCAGTCATAGTGAGGTTTGGGTTTCAACGGTTTGGGTTCCAGAGCTGCACAAAGAACAAATATGGAACGCGATAGGGATGTTCGGTGCAAGAATCGAAGTCAGACTGGTGTTCGAATTTGGGGTACAGCTAGGATTAACGAGGGTAGACTTGTCTTATTTTTCATCTAAATTTTCCATCAAAATGGATTTCTCAGCAATACCATCGTCGGAGAGGGAAACTGAATCCGTGATTTTCATCCATTTTTCACTCATCTTTCGATAGCTGGGCAAGGAGGAATGATGGCTAAGTTCAACGTTGTCCTCAACCAAACGTGGTGTTTTAGGATACCCACTTACACTTAGATGGGATAATTTTGATATGTCCCGAACCAAACACTACCTTAACGAACTTTGAAAGAAAGGTAATCGTATTACTTTATATATAAGATAAAAAAAAAGTCCTAAAGATACATGTGACATTATTTTTACCATTCAAATAAGTCAATATAATTTGGTTTATGAATTATAAAAAAATATCATAATTATTTTCATATGTATTTACAATATCATAGAAGAGATATATCTCTAAAAGTAATGACACAAAAACACGAGTTTATTTAAGGAGGTATTTGGTATAGGAGAAATTATTTTTTAGCAAAGAATCTCAATTTTCAAAAATATAATTTTTACATTCAATTTATTATAATATCTATAAATTTAAAATTTAAAAAAATTCAGTTTGTCAAATTTTTTTAAAATTCTCGTATACCAAACACATCAGGAATAATTGAACTTCACTATGTTGCTATGGTCTATGCAAAAAACTACGTACTACAAACTTTATGAGGGCCCTCACATGACCCTCTGTCGTCTAGCCACAGGTCAGGGGTCCCACACACCCTAGGCACATGCAGTATCTGAAATTCTCTTTTTAGCAATGGAATGTATTTATTTATTTATTTATGAAAAGTGATTTACATTAAATCTTAAAAGATTTTTTTTGTTATCTTAATATTTTTGAAAAATAGTAAAGGATTAGGCTGGTACATTGTTTGTTTCAGTTTCAGTGCCATTCTTGGTTTATTTACCAGTGGAAGTGACACTAACTTTTTATTTCGTCGCTTTCTCTGTTGAGTTGTTGTTTTTTTTTTTTTCCCTTCAGCCATTTTTGATGTTTTGGTGTTCTCTGTAAAAACTTCACAGAGAAGAAATGGAGAGTAGGGTACCCTTTGTCCTGTCCTGTCTCTCACTCATGCTGCTACTTCTCTTGCGTCTTTCCTCTTCTCAGATGCCAGGTTACCCTCTTCTTCAAATCCCTTTTCTTTTCTTAGATTGGTTTCCATAAAGTTTGAGTCTTTTTCTTCTCTTGCACCGGTTTTTGCATTAAAAAAGATGTCTTGTTTCAATGGCAACCAGAATTTTGAAAAACATTTAAGCAATTCCTTTGTCTTTCATCATCCTGTTTCATAGGAATGAGCTGATTGTAATTTAGCATGGATATCTTGTTGCATAATCCATATTTAAACACAATAATAGAAGGCTGTGACCCATCTTTAATGTTTTTGATTCATGTGTTTTTCCGTTTTACTTGGATGGCTATTGGCTTTAATTATGAGTCAAGACATGCTTAAATTAATTGTGGTTAAATAACTGCTTTAATGTCAAATTAAAACAATGATGAACCAGCTGTTATGATAAGCAATCCTTATTGAATGAAGATTATTTGTTTTTTGGAATCTATAGTGGTTGTGTAGATCATAAGATCAGATATGATCAAGTTTTATGATGGTTTAATGAATCTTTATATGATTACTATCATTATTTTTCAAACTTCTTTTGAAGTATCACTGTTTAGTATGATTTTCATTTGTCTCAACTCTCAATTGACACTTCCTTTATAAAGTTTTCCTATTATTGTTTCGAATTGTTTATGCAATTTATTCACTTCAACTCTACGGTTATCTGGTGACAAAATATGTTATGTTAAGCAGGTTTCGTAAGTTTGGACTGTGGAGGTAAAGAAAATTTCACTGATGAAATTGGTCTTAGATGGACTCCTGATGATAAACTTACTTATGGAGAAATAAGTACTATATCAGTTGTCAATGAGACACGAAAGCAATACATGACACTTCGACACTTTCCCGCTGATTCCAGAAAATACTGCTACACATTTGATGTTGTCAGTAGGACAAGGTACCTACTGAGGGCAACATTCTTGTATGGGAACTTTGACAGAAACAATGTTTATCCAAAATTTGACATTTCTGTTGGGGCTACTCATTGGTCTACTATTGTTATATCTGATGCTAATACTATAGAAGTGAGAGAGCTTATATTTTTGGCTTCAAGTCCTACAGTTAGTGTATGTTTATCAAATGCAACAACTGGGCAGCCATTCATATCTACACTTGAACTCCGGCAATTCAATGGTTCGGTTTATTATACAGCCTATGAGGAACACTTTTACCTCAGAGTCTCCGCGAGGATAAATTTTGGTGCAGAAAGTGATGCCCCAATCAGGTATTAAGCCAACTCTGTCTGTTGCTTCGTAATCTGCTCTGTCAAAAATTAATCTTCTCTGTCAAAAATTAATCTTCTAAAATCTCTTTTCTTAAGTATATCACAACATATATATACTATTGTGAAGTCATTGGATTGATATCAAAAAAAGTTAATGAGTAATCCTGAATCCTGATGCCCGGGATCAATTTCATTTGGCAAATTATGATACTTTTGGTGTGTGCATACAAGCGTACATAGATAGACAAATGCATGTAGACATATTTTACATAAATTTTATTCTTTTATTCACTAGATAAATCGCAAATATCAAATTTTTGTGACTGCCCTCGTAGCAAAGAACTACTTTACACAGATTATATATCTAAGGATGAACTTGTTTATTGCGTAGATAGTCTTAGCACTTGTGGTCTTGAAGCAGCATCTTTTCACTTACGAAGTTTATATTTCTGCCATATCAGGTATCCTGATGACCCATTTGATAGAATTTGGGAGTCAGATTCTGTCAAGAAAGCAAATTATCTTGTTGATGTTGCTGTTGGAACTGAGAAAATTTCCACCAAAGTACCAATTGAAGTTAACAAAGATGAAATGCCACCAATGAAAGTATTGCAGACAGCTGTTGTGGGTACAAATGGATCTCTAACTTACCGGTTGAACTTGGAAGGTTTTCCTGGTATTGGATGGGCTGTAACCTATTTTGCAGAGATTGAAGATTTGGCTCCAGATGAAACCAGAAAATTCAGGCTAATACTTCCAGGCCAGCCTGATATGAGTAAGGCTGTGGTAAATATTGAAGAAAATGCTCTAGGAAAATATCGCCTTTATGAACCAGGATATACCAATCTATCCCTTCCATTTGTGCTGTCCTTTAGATTTGGCAAGACATCTGATTCTTCCAGGGGCCCTCTTCTAAATGCCATGGAGATAAATAAGTATCTGGAGAAAAATGATGGCTCTCCTGATGGTAAGTCCTACCATATGATATGCTGTTTGGCTAACTTGCAACTGTAGAGTAACTATTCAATGAGTGTGTCTATTGCAATACAAAGTGTTATCAGTTGCATATATTTTGTAGCACCGTAATTTATTTAGTACTTGGATTGGATGGTGTGCAGGAGAAGCTATATTTAGTGTACTTTCACACTACTCTGCATCAGATTGGGCACAAGAAGGGGGTGACCCTTGTCTACCTGTTCCATGGTCATGGGTACGATGTAGCTCAGATATACAACCAAGAATAGTTTCAATGTAATGGTTCATATTTTTTGAAGAAAGAATAACCACTAGCTTCTAATTAAGAATTTTCAATTACTGTATGAAAAGTTCAAGTGATTTGATAACAGTTACTTTGTGCTCCTGGTTATGGCAGTGTGTTATCTGGTAAAAACTTGACGGGCAATATTCCTTTGGACATCACCAAATTGACTGGTCTGGTTGAACTGTAAGTTTTATATTGCTTTTTAATTTTGGTTCAATTAAGCTAGTTATTTCTTATGTTTAATTTACGGAACTTATGTTGTGGTTTGTGGCATAATTTTTTGATTCATGGATGCAGATGGCTTGATGGAAATAAGTTGACTGGCCCAATACCAGATTTTACTGGATGCATGGACTTAAGGATCATGTAATTGCTGATAAGTTCTGCCCTTATCCATTCTTTTTTAGTTTTCAGCTAAGTACAACCTTTTTCTCTTGCAGTCATCTTGAGAACAATCAGTTGACGGGTGCACTCCCAACCTCTTTGAGGAACCTTCCAAATTTGAGAGAACTGTAAGCTCTCTGGAACCTACGTATCAGTAGTTTGATCAAATTGGAATTTGGTATTCTTTGATACATGCAATTATATATATATCACTAAAATAAGTGTCTTTCTGTAAATGACTCTTAGTCATGTGTAAACAATATTCAAGCTATTATGCTAAATACTCATTTTATTTTGATACAATTAGATAACGCTTATAATGGTTGCAGGTATGTCCAAAATAATATGTTATCTGGAACCGTACCATCAGATCTTCTGATCAAAGGTTTGGTTTTGAAGTGAGTACCTTTTGTTCTTGTTAAACTTAAACATAATGTAGCATTACACATGCAAATACACAAGATATGGTGGATGCTTTTGCAATGTTCTTCCCTGTTCTAATCAATTATTTTCTTCCAGATTTTAATCTTTGCATATGCTTATGTAATGTGTTAACGTATGATACACCATGAAATAAAATGTTTGCTTTATAACAAGAGAAATCAACATTTCTGGTGTGATCAGTTAAGTAGAAGGCCAATTTTGTACTGTGTAGAACAGTCAGATATTCCTACTCTGGTGCTTCTTTTTTGTTGGAATTTTGTATATAGTAATTGTGCTTCCTATTATTCCATTGGACCAACATCCCATGATGCATTACTCCCCTTCTTCTGTCTTTTTTTTTTGTTCTTTTCATATTTATCCTCACCCCTTAGAATGTTTTTCATAATCTTTTGGTTTCTGAATTTCTGCTGAATGCATCTTGTTGCTTTGATTGCTTAAATAAATGACGTTAGTATCAGTAAGCTAATATGACAGTCTGTCTTCAGTGTAGTTTGACATTCTAGATTTTGTTTTCCTTGAAATGCTAATACTTCAAAGGGATCAAAATATAATTCTTCTAGGTTCAATCTTATCCTATTTCCCCAAATTTTTTAATCCCCTAATCACTATATTTACATCATCACCACTATTTTTATTTTGGTCCTCAACAGCTACTCTGGAAACTTTAATCTTCATAAAGGAATCAGAAAAAAGAGCCACATGTATGTGATTATTGGTTCAGCAGTTGGGGCTGCCGTTCTACTTTTGGCTACTGTTATATCTTGCTTTTTTATGCATACAGGAAAGAGAAAATATTATGAGCAAGGTAGGTTTTTGAATCAAAATTATATATTATTTCTCTATGAAATTTTAGATGGTAGAGTGTGATGTATTTGTTTACACTCTTCTCAGGCAGCCTTGTTTCTCTCCCTTCTCAAAATCTGGATTCTTCTAAGAGAGATGGTCCTGCAGAAGCTGCTCACTGTTTCAGTTTTTCTGAAATTGAAAATTCTACAAATAATTTTGAGAAAAAAATTGGTTCTGGAGGTTTTGGAGTAGTTTATTATGGGAAACTGAAAGATGGAAAAGAGATAGCAGTTAAAGTTCTAACCAGTAATTCCTATCAAGGCAAACGAGAGTTCTCCAATGAGGTAACTTGCATTTCATAAACCTCTTTCAGTAATCCAACATTGCAGCTACCCCAACTTAATTTGCTTAGTTACATTTTCACATCGCGATCTATGGTTTATTTTTTGTTCCACCTTGTTTACTTTTCTTTCCCTTATTTGGTTTTTAAATAAATCATAAAAGAGAGGAAAATAGTTTCAAGGATCTTACTAAATTCTGTTGGCATTGAATAAATATTCATATTATAGTTATATTTTTGTTTGATCCAGGTGACTCTTCTTTCAAGAATACATCACAGAAACTTGGTACAGCTTCTTGGGTATTGCCGAGAAGAGGGGAATAGTATGCTTATTTATGAGTTCATGCATAATGGAACTCTCAAGGAACATCTTTACGGTAAGCCTACATGATTTAAATCAAGGAGCAGAACTCCATATACTCAATTTTGTCTAACTTCTTGTAGGCCCATTAACACATGGACGGAGTATCAATTGGATTAAGCGCCTTGAGATTGCAGAAGATGCTGCAAAAGGTTGATAACTCTGATGTATCATTTAAGATGATAATATTAATACTTTCCCCCCTAATTTTCCAATTGAATGGCCCTTCCTGTAACACCCCATGTGCACCTAATGTAATTATATATTTATATAAGTGGCTTAACCATTTATCCGTATATAAAAGTGTGAGTCAACTTTTTCGTTACCATAAATAGCATGCGAACTAGATGCATGCATACAAGATGTTACACTTCCCTTATTATTATAGATCACATTGTATTAATTGTATTATTTTCATGCTTGTTCAGGGATTGAATATCTTCACACAGGCTGTGTTCCTGCAGTTATCCATAGAGACTTAAAAAGCAGCAACATTCTTCTTGACAAAGACATGAGAGCCAAGGTTTCAGATTTTGGTCTTTCAAAACTTGCTATTGATGGAGTCTCCCATGTTTCTAGCATAGTTCGAGGGACAGTAGGATATCTGGATCCTGAGTAAGGCCTTAACTATTTTCCATGATTTTGCATGTTTGCTTGAGATTACCATAGTTTACTATATTCAAAGTTGCTACAGATTAACCACTAAGCTTTTCATTGAAACTTTCTCCTAACAGGTACTATATTTCCCAGCAGCTGACTGACAAGAGTGATATTTATAGTTTTGGTGTAATTCTTCTTGAACTCATTTCTGGGCAAGAAGCAATATCTAATGACAGTTTTGGAGCTAATTGCCGAAACATAGTCCAGTGGGTGAGTTTTAATTTCTTTGCGTACATAGAATTTTGTAGCATAAATGAACTATATATATATATATATATATATATATATATATTCTAATTTTTACGAAATGACTTGTACAGTATTTAATTTTACAACGTTTGACAAAAATAATAATAATTACATGCACTAGAATGCATGTATAAATTTATATATTGGTAGGAGAAGATATATGATTCTTTTGGTCTCTCTATTCTATTCCAATTATGCTTATTAATAAAAGGCTTAATATCATTTTTGGTTCTTCTAGTATGGCCAATGTGGAATTTTGCTTCCCCCCAATAAACTTTTGTAGCAACTTAATCTCCTAATTTCTTAATTGAAAAACTAACCACCTTGCACATGGATCAATTGGCACGGAGTTGTTCCTACTTAATATTGTGTTAAAAACTTGATAGGGAGAGTTTTGTTGCCTACCTAAATAAGTCACATTTTATATTAATCTATTTATATTAGTGGATTTAAATAGATTAAAGTCACTCGTGTGTATCTTAAATGTTTATGTTGAATTACATTTACAGAAACTAAATTTTGGTTGTATATATAAATTGATTAACAGGCCAAATTACACATTGAGAGTGGAGATATACAAGGCATTATTGATCCGGCGTTAAGAAAAAACTATGACCTACAATCAATGTGGAAAATAGCAGAGAAAGCATTGATGTGTGTTCAACCTCATGGACATATGAGGCCATCAATATCAGAAGTTCTAAAGGAGATACAAGATGCACTTGCTATTGAGAGAGAGGCCGAAGGCAATTTAGATGAGATGCCAATAAATTCTGTTCATTCTTTCATGACTACGGGTCTTGGTGCAACTGATAGTTACCTTTCAATTGATGAATCCATTGGACAGCCTGCTGCACGATAGAGTCATAGTCCTCTCTTGTAAACAAGCAGAAAATTTTCCTATTTCTTTCTCCAATTTTCCTATTATTATTATTATTATTTTAATGTGTCCATGCCTTGTTGGATGTTATGATATGTAGGTTTTGCTTTGCATATAACTTGTAGGTTGGCCAGTGAACTGGTTTCAAATTTGCTTTTTGCTCAGTTGAATGTGCCAGCATTAATGTGGCATATTCATGTGCTTGGACTTGCACAGATGGCAAATGGGATGTATATGGAAATTAGCATCAGTGACTGACAGTGACTCAAGTTACTACGTAAACAGTGGCATGGTGCATGTATATTTAAAGGGATAAACTAATCTATGTTATATATGAGAGAGTATATCTCGTACTGTGAGATAAACTTAATGTGGTTCTTACTAAAAAAATTAAAAATAAAAAAAATAAAAATGGGATTCATCTTGATTTTGTGTCATCCACGTAAGAGAAGCTATCTCTTTTAATATGAGATTAATTTATCCCATATTTAAAAAGGGATTTTGATAAAACTAAGATTTGGATTTGTTGAAAAAAAAATGTTTTGATGTATAAATATTATTAAAGTAAGGGTTCATTTTTTTTATAGTTAATATAGATATTTTATCTACATTGAGCCCAAAACGATATTGTTTTGGGATGAAAGTCAAGGTATTTTTGTAATTATTAATAGTCTTTTTTATTATAATTTTTTATTTTTTAACTCATAACGACGTCATTTTGAAGGTGACGGTACAAATATCAAAGCCTTAAAAATAATAGTATAATATTAAATTACGAGAGATTTATTTTTCAATATATGCATAATTAATTTAATTGAACATCAAAATCACAATTCTTCAAATCAACGCAAATACTTTTTTTTCCAATGTAATAAATACTTTTGTTACATTGAAAAAAATGGCTTTCATAATTTGTATTTTATTTCCCTATTCAATTCCTAAAAGAGACACTGTTAACAAATCTCACATTAAGAACCAATGAAGCCGTAAGTTAGAACTTAAGAGTATGTACAAGTATTTACAAAAAGTTCGATTTTTCTACACTTAACGCAGATAATTTATCTATAGTGAATTCAAAATAATTTCATTTTGAGACGGAAATCAAAGTATTTTTGTAATTATAATTTATTTCAGGGTTATAATAGTCTTTTTCATTATAATTTTTTAATTTTTCAATCCAAAACGACGTAGTTTTTGAGAGCGAATATAGATAACTTATCTACATTCACGTTAGAAACATTAAAGCCTTAAAAAAAATATCAAATATTATATGTACGGAATACCAACACTTTAAGATTTTTTATTTTTATATTTCCATTAATTTATCAATTATTCGAAACTCTAAGCATTTTAAAATATTAAAAAAACAAGATTTTAGCAAAAAATAAAAGAGTAAATATCTTTTTTGGTCCTCAGCAAATTTTACGATGCCCGCTTTAGTCCCTAGCAAATAAAAAGGTCCATCGTGATCCCTAAGAAATTCAAAATGGACCCGTTTTAGTTCTTTTAGGGATTAATATGGATTTTTTTGAATTTGTGAGAGATCACGATTTCAACTAGACGACTCTATTTTAAATTTGTTAGGAAGCATGATGGATCACGATTTCTTAGTAAAATTTATTGAGGATAGAAAGAGTATTTACTCAAAATAAAATAAAAAACACTTGATAGATTCGCATCGCATGAGTATAAAAAGCTAACAAATAGGAGAGTCAGAAAACAAAGGAAGTGAAGTGAACGAAAAACAAAAACGGACGGTGGTGATAGAATTGACATTTTCATCTCCATCGTCACCTCGCTCCTCTCTTTTCCAGCGTACGATACAAATTCCATCACATCACACACCCTTCACGTTCAGGTAACCCCCTCGACTAACCATTAACCAATCCCCCTTCTTTCAATTTCTCTTTTTATTCTCTCCCTAGGGTTTTTCTAATCGCCAAATTTCACCATGTTTTTCCGGTTCACCGATTCGCTTCGTCGATTAGGGTTCCGGCGAATATGGCCGATGTTCCGGCGAGTCCAGGCGGCGAGAGCGGCGACCACAGCCCTCGATCCAGTTTCCGAGAGCAGGAACGGTACCTTCCAATCGCTAACATCAGTCGCATCATGAAGAAGGGGATTCCCGCTAACGGGAAAATCGCCAAGGACGCGAAGGAGACCGTACAGGAATGCGTTTCTGAGTTCATCAGCTTCATCACCAGCGAGTTCGCTTCTTCTCCTTCTTCTTATCTTGATTGACCAAAATTCATTCAATCTTTCGTGCTTTAATTGTGATTCGGTTGAATGAATTAATCTTGTTAATGTTTCGCAGGGCGAGCGATAAATGCCAGAAAGAAAAGAGGAAGACCATCAACGGCGACGATTTGCTTTGGGCTATGGCCACTCTTGGTTTCGAAGATTATATTGAGCCTCTCAAGATTTACCTCGCCGCATACAGAGAGGTAATTTACATTTACATTTAATACAGCATGCTGTTTTGGTTAAATTCTACTTTTCACTGATGTTTTCTTTTTCTTTTTCTTTTTCGTATGGATTTCTCGTTGGCCTATTGGGAATGTTGCAGACTGAGGTGATTATAAATAAATAGCTATTCCACTTTGTGATTGTTAGTGTGTAATTACACTTTTTCTAACGAGTTTGTATACATTGTTGTTATGGCTTGTCAAATTGTGGTATGCCAGGGTGATACAAAGGGTTCGGCCAAGGGTGGAGATGCATCTGCTAAGAAAGATGTTCATCCGTGTCCTAATCCTCAGGTGGAGAACATATATATACATGCACTATGCCTGGTTGCATTGCTGTAAATATATTTAAAATACAATAGTATCTGATGTTGGAATGTTTTGTTGTGGATTTGACAGTTTTCTCATCAAGGTTCTTTCTCACAAGGTGTTAATTACACGAATTCTCAGGTAATTACTTACAGCCTCTAATGTAATAATCTCTTTCCTCTTGTGCTCCTGTAGCATCGTGTTGATAAATGAAGATGCTGAGGTTTCTGTTTAATCTCTGACATGACTGCAATGTAGTATGAGATAATGATGCTTCATTCACGGGAACCTCTAATTTTAATCCCTTTTCCTCCTAAATGCTTTAATTTGGAGCTCACTTTAATTAAAAAGTTTCTCATTATGTTGGCTCTGAAACCATTTTGATTTGTTATTTGAATTTTGAAATTTTGAAGGCATACTTGCCTAATAACTTGACTACGAATTAGTTACATCTGGTTGTTAGCACACATGATATGGCCCCATTTTAGTCCTTGCTGAAATTTTGTGTAAATAATGGATTGGTTTTAGGTTCAATGAATTTCTGTATCTCTCTCCTCTCTTTTACTTTATAAGTTTTTTTTGGTTTATTAGGGGTTATTCAATATGTGGCCTATCTTGGAATGGCATTTCTTTTGGATTTAGTTAGCCACACAGAATAAGGGCATTGGAAACAAGTGTGGTTACCTGTTAGAGATTTTCAGTCTTAAATGAATTGTACAACTGCAAACTATAGAATACCTTAAAGCTTCTATGGGCGCTGAACTCTTCGAATTTTCTTTTGCAAAATGCATTAGGATTGAATTAGGTTGTGGCTCCCTGTAATGGTGGTAGGATGGTAGGTTTCTTAGTGATTTCAGACCCCAACAATGATAAATTTTTGGGCCTAACAATTCTTAATGGTGTGCTGCTGATGCTATTGACATCAGTACTTCACTTTTGGTTGTGGATTTTGCCGTAATGATAAATGTTACTCCATATAGTGCATAGCAAAATCATGCCTTAATTCTAAACATTTCTGGTTGTAAATCCTTGGCTAGACTAACTGTCTTAAGCTCTAAGGCCTTGTAATCCTGGAGAAGTCTGATATACCTGACTGGCTACTTTGTAGTAGTGACTTCAATTGTAAATATATTTGAATTGGTCAAACAAATGATCCTTCCTTGTCTTCCGAGAATCAGACGGAAATATCACTGCATCTGTTTTGCAATTACATATTGTACTGCCCTTTTTCTTTTCCATCATTGTGTTTTCTTCCATTCTTTCTTAAAAGTACTCTCTAGGACCATTTTGTCATGGCCTTTTATGGGGTTTAATAATTAATCTTTAATATCAAAGCTGGATGTTTTAGTTCTTAAAACGAAAAATTCTGAAAGCAAGTTTTACCCCATTAATAAAGGGTTAATGTCTTGTTTCAAAACAAACTTTTATTTGGAATTGGTTTTCCTTGAATCTGACATATTAGCCCGGTTATTACCTGGTATCCCGAGCATTTAACTTTTATTTATAAATGGATGATTTTTCTCTCTGGTTTTGTAAGTTATATCTTAGTTTTAAGGAATGTTTGTTAGCTCAAGCAACAAAAAGTTCAATAGACAATGAATTAATGATATTTATTTTTACTTTATTTGAATTTTCAGCCTCAGGCTCAACATATGATGATCGTTCCCATGCAAGGCCCAGAATAGATATTGACGACTTCAGTGTTTGTCACATGTGATTTCGATGCCGGTGATGCTTAATTATGTGCCCTTGGTATGTTGAAAGCATTTTATGTTATGTGAATACTGACATTTGGAGAAGAATCATTGTTCACAAGTTATATTGTAAATCCTGAAACTATGCTTGTCTGATTCCATCAGGCGTCCCGGCAAAGACTGAAGATTTTATTTAACTTATTGGAAACATAAATTGTCGTATTCTTTTCCTTCTTTTTCGGTGTTACATCCGATGAAGAATGAAGATGGTGCCAGTTTTTGAAACCCTTTCGTTTTAAAGGGGATGGGATTGTGCTTTTTTGTTGAGCATTAGACTCTTCGATTTATTTACTTGATACAGCTATTTATACTTTACATATACCCAATGACAACGACAGAAGCTTTTGATCATTAGGTAGGACTGGCAACATATTTCAAATGAAGTCCCTGGGTTTTGTACAAGACCGAAGTTTTCAATAAGGTCATTTAGTTAGGTAAAGGTCTATCATAGAGCATGTTTGGATGAGTTTTTTTTTTTTTTTTTTCAAGTTCTTCTCGTTAAAAACTTGCTTTCTATTGAAGCTAAAATTTCTAGTTTCTAAAAAAATTAGGAGTTAAAAGTTAAATATTATTTTTTTCATAATTCAAATTTATCCCAATCCCCCAACCAATCAAATATTATTTTTTCAAAATTCAAATTTATCCCAATCCCCCAACCAATCTCACATCTTTTATCGCCACTATTGCTACAAACACCAACTCCATTATCATCGCCACCACTGTCGTTGTCACCACCATAATCTTAACACCAACCAATTTTACCTCTATTGTTGCCTCTACCATTACTACACCCCACCATCACTATTATCATATTGTTGTTGTTACCACTATCTTCATCATTGTCACTACCACCTTGTCATCATTATACAATTATTGTCACTACCACCACCTTCATCACCGTCACTACGACCCTACCAACACTTATACCATAGCTATTGTTGCCATTATTACCACCACCCCGTTATCAAACCCACTACCCCCCCCCCCCCCATTAGCATCGCTTCCACCACAACTAAATTTGTTCTCATTATTTATTTTCACATGTCCTTTTTAATAATTTTATAGGCGATAAATGCTTTTTAATTTTAACATCTAAATAATATATTTAGTTAAAAGTGTTTTTCATGTATTACATCCAAATGCAAAATAGCTTTAGCTTTTGAAAAATGTCCTTCTAAATTAAAGTTTGAGGGATGTAAGTAGGTTGGGTTCGGCTAGACTTTGTTTTAAAGAGGCTGGTTTGGCTTGTTAGCTTTGTACAAACTCAAATTATAAGTCTGAACTTGCCTATATTTAAAAAATAAAGCCTTGATCTAGGACTGTTAGCCTGTTTAAGTCTATTAGGCATTCAATAATTAAAAAAATAATTAAAATAATATTACTTTATTATTCAAAATCATTAAAATAATTAATTTATTTTATTTAAAATAAATAATTTGATATAAACCAGCCTGTAGGTTATAGGTTCGACTTGTAAAAGAAAGCATATAATCTACTTTCTCAATAAGCTATTTTTGAGGTCTAAGCATGTTTTATTTGAGTATATGTAATAGGTCGAGGCTGACCTAATGTAAGCCGAGTCCTAAGTCCCAATTAAGTTGGCTAGTTCATTTACACCCCCATAAGTAAGACATAAAAAGTCATTTTTTTTTAAAAAAATTTCATCCAAACAAGCCTTTAATAGACTTTTTTTCTTTGGTCTTTCTTTATTTCTCTTTATCTAGTTTATCTTCCGTATGATTAACTTTTATTAATGGCCCCTTATTAGTGTTCTACTCACCAAGTTTTCTCAAGAGAGATTCCGGCATCTTTTCCTCTCAAAATGATATTCCAGCTTTATCTCTAATGATAGAGTCTTTCAGGATTTTATATTTTCTTGTATATCAATTCATCTATATCGACATTGGACATTGGAATATAGACATATATTCGGGAAAACTCTGATTGATTGATCATGTTGTTCCTTTTTTTTATTTAAGTTATCACTTTATCCCTCTCTCAATTTATATATTAATGTCCCTGTTATCAATTTATATATCAATTCATCAAAATTTGATCGATATTTACCGGAGTAAATGAGGGGTAAATATATAACTTGGGAAGAGAGATAAAATGATAAAAAAAATAATTTAAAATAAGGATAAAATGGTTAATTAATCAGAAGATACGTTATTATGCCTACTTCTCAATCTACCCTATTCTCAATACAATTAGATTACAATATCATCTAATGGTGGAGATTTGTAAAATAAAATAAATTCTTTTATTCATTTTCCCTCTTTCTGCCCCTATCCTTTCTCTCTCTGCCTTGGAAGAGAGTGGAGTTCAACTTCGCCAGGAGAGAGTTAAATCAAATTCACGAATCACCAAATTGTCTGAGAAAGACCTTTTCCATCTCAAATTTTCAAAACTCAAAAAGTCATTTTTTTAAAAAATAATAATAACTTTTTGATCATCAAATACTGACTCCCTCACTCCCATTTTAATTTTAATTGTAATCTAAAAACATATATTTCTCCTAAGCTTGCTGCAATCTATTAAGAAATCCTTGAAATCTTATTGTTCCTACAACAAACGTTCCAGAAGGTTTTCCGCATCCGGAAACCCAAATTCCGAGCACAAACAGCTTCCAATCCTCCACGATCAAGAAGCCCCCACCACCACCACCACCACCACCCATAACTAATGGCCGAAGATGTTGTCGACTTGTCGTGAAGATTAATGAGGGAGAACTCGCTCAAGGCAACAAGATTTGGAGCCGGGGAGGAGAGAGAAAAGATAGGAGGAAGATGAGAAAGAAAGGGGTAAAAGAATTTATTTTATCTTGCAAATCTTCACCATTGAATGATATTGTAATCTAATGGTGTTGAGAGGGATAGGCAAAGTAGGCAAATTAAGGAGTAAGCAGAATAACTTATCCCATTGAGAAAGGAAAGAAAAGAAATTAAAGGAGAAAGAAAGGTAAAAATAGAAGAAAAATGAAGGTTAAATTTTTAACTTTATTTAGATGTTAAAAATTCACGAGAGAAGGAAATAGTGAGTTAGTTAAATTATAATGATTAATTATTATATACTTTTATATTTGAAAAAAAACAATATATCTATATACTTAAAAGTATATATATATATATATATATATATATATATATATATATATTTTGTTGCGTAAGTTTTTAAAAAAATTAAAAAATATTCTCTCTAAAAAAACTTGTAAATATAACTAAATTTAATTTTTAAATTTGACTAGGGACAAATAAGTAAATAAAGTTGTGTTTCCAAACCTCTCAATTTGGGGGGACTCAAATTTATTTATTTATTTTTTCCAAAGAGGATTTATGAAAAAATTCTCATTTCCTTCCCTTCTTTTTTGTAAGACATTGAAACGAAAAATGCTAACTATAAGCCTCTCTTTTCTCTCCTTTTTTTCCCCCTAAATCTTTTACCCATATAGACATGTCTGTAAAGTGCAAAACTAAATTTACCATTAAATTTTAATGGGTTAAAATCATCAGACACAAGGGTGGTTTTTCCTTAAGGCATGCGCACGAGGGATGAGAGTTGATTACTTATACTTGTTAGGGAATATAGAAAATCACAATGTGGAGCAGAACTGAATATGCTAAATCGATGAAATATTCAACTTTCTAGTATTTCATTTGAGTCTAAAGTAACTATGCTCAAGTTTAGTCAAATTCAAGCGCTTTAAGACATCTGTACTTGTGTAGTTTGTGGTGAGAGATTGTACAAATAGCATTTTTGTTGGACAGCATAATGCAGCTAGCTAGAGTTACACCAGAATGGTTTAGATTTTAAGAGCGTGATAATATTTGGAACTTTTTGAAGTGTCAATTACATCGAATTTGGATTTAATTTTATTTGCTTCCCTTTGATTTTGATGTAGCATGTCGGCATTTGGATGTTTATTAGCTTTTCAATTGTGCTTTAGTAAAAGGAATATTTGTTACCCGGTTAATGGGTTGACGTCAATGGTGCTAAATCTACCAAGAGTACACGTCAAGTTGCTCTTTTCCTTTTCCTACACTTTGACATGGATGATGGATGACTAGGAGTCTAGGACTCTAGGCATTGACCTTTTATATTTGGCTTTTTACCCTTCTACTGTGCATTTGATAAGTATTTATCGGTTTAAGTTTTTTAATTTACCAATTTAATGTGAAAGATACATATCTCGACAGTGCACGCTTAAGTTGAGCATGTCTCGCATGCATGTTTGTGATGCGCAACAAATAACAAGCTTTTGCAAAAGCCGTGTATGGGATGATGCACAACTTGAATGCAACGGTCAAAATGCGTATCTTGCAGCATTAAAGTGATAAATAATTTTGTGAAAAAAATTAAACCGGGAAATAATTTCAAAGTCCACACTAAAAAAAGAAAAGAAAAAAACCTTTATACCCTTACATGACCAGCCCAAAATCTTTGCCTCTGAGGCCTTTACATCTATCATATACACGTTCATATTCTCACACCTGGTTCCATATTGGTTTATTTCTTTTGTAGTGGGGGTGGGTAACTGAGCCCTTTATATATCTCATGTTATTCATGCTACTAACCATATTTTTCCTTTTACTTTTTCCAGTTTGAATGAATCAGAACTAGGGGTGTAAATAAGGTGGGTTGAGCTGTACTTTTGCTTAAATAGACCAGACTTATATAAAATACTTTCGGTCTGACTTGGACTATTAGCCTTATGTAGGCCTAAATTATAAATTTGATCGGACTTATATGTAAAAAATAAAAGCCTAAGCCCGACATTTTAAAAAAAGTCTATAGCCTGCTTTTTAAATAAATTTTTTTAAAAGCTTAAGCCTGTTCTATTTTACTATATGTAATAGGCTTGAGTATGGTTTGATATAGGCTAGTCGTAAGCCCCGTTAGGCCGTTTGACCTATTTACACCTTCTTCAGAACCATTTTATGAAAAATATGGCAATATTATGTTTTGAAGACTTCCTTATTTGCTTATATGATGCAAGTTTGATGTCAAAGAGACTAGTTATTTTCTTCTCTCTCTTTATGGACAGGAAATCTGGAACCAATTTTTTTTTTGCTTATAAACACATACCTTCTAGATGTTATAAAGTACTCCCTTGATAAGGGTGAAGCTAAACTTTTTAAAATCTTCATTTAAAAAATTTATCAATTATTTTAATTTCATATTAAATATCTACAACATAAGGGCATTTAAAGTAAAGGGAGTCATTTATTATAAACGTGAGAATAATAAATCTTGACCATTAAATCATATGACCACAATTAGAATATAAAATTATGTGACTTTTTATGTGGTTAACCTTCAAGTAATCTAATATTGACCATTCATAATAATATTTGTTGTGGTGGCCCAATATGAAAGGCCCATGCTTGAAGACTTACAGAGGGCTTCCCCTAAAAAAGGTAGGT